AGGAACAAATATCGATCTCTTCCAGTCAGTTGGCCAAGTGGTCGTTCTCCAGATTTCTTGGCACAACTTGGTGAGCACATCCAGGGCAGCATCTGTTAACCGAAATATGTCAATTGGTATACCATCTATTCCTACATATCCATATACAGAGAGGCGCTTTCCTAGATAGTTATCTAACAAGAGTCTGATGGGAGGTTAGAGGACAGAAGAAGCTCTCTGCTCGGCCCTCCAGTTGTTGTTATGTGCTGTCAAATTGCCTGCTATTCATAGCGACCCTATGTACAACAACTTTGAACTCTGTCCTATCCTGAGCCAATTTCACTGTCTCCGACCCACCTGCCCCCATTATCCTCGTCACTGTGTCAATCAATCTCATCTAGGGTTTTCCTCTCCTGTACTGTCCCTCCACCCTTCCAAGCATGATGTCCTTTCTCCAAGGATTGATCCCTTCTGGCAACATGCCCAAAATACACATATATTTTGAAGATGGAGCTTCAAAATCCTTGCCTCCAAAGAGCAACTTGGTTTGACTCTCTCCAGGACAAACCTGTTTGTTCTCTTGGCAGTTCATAGTATATATGTTCAACACTCTTCTCCAGCACCGTGGGTCAAAGGTATCAATTCTACTTCTGTCATCTATGGTCATTGTCCAGATCGCTAATGCATATTAAAAGTAACTGTGAAGATCATGGCCTGGATCAGGGGCACCTTAGTCTCTAGACTGACATCTTTGCTTTATCACTTTAGAGTGGTCCCTGACAGCAGACTTTCCTAAACCAATCTGTCTTGACATCAGAACCAGTGAGAGTTGCTGAGGTGGCCAACTGGCCCAGTCCAGGCCCTGGACGGTCCCCACTAGTCAGAGCAGCAGACCTAAATTTCAAATGCAACCCGAGGCTGATACGTGGGCCCAGCACGCATAGGGGAGAAGCACAAATAAATACAAGCAGCAGCTGCAGCTGTGGACCCCTGGCTTCGCCCATCTGGAGCTTTCTCAGCTGCAGCTCAGTGTAACAGTTTCAACTCTTTCTCCAACAAAGGGCAAAGTTGACATTTGTGTCAAAGCAAATCCAACTACATAAAAGGATGAAATGGCAACCCCTCAGGATGTGGGAGGGAGTTCACCAATTACTAGGCGTGGAGTATAGGATTGGGGGGTATATGGACACAAGAGTTCTTGGGATGGAACCCCAGCATCTAGCGTGTCCTTCCACCTCTACTGGTCACAGATCAACCAGCTCTCAACACATCAGCCCTGAGCATCAAACACACAGCAGATGTTAATATGCTCAACCAGGAAGTTCCTACAGTATCATCCTTTATGATGTAGTGTGCAAAGCTGAAGTCTTAGAGACATGGCCTGGAACACATTTCAGAACTGTATAGCATTTTCAAAATCAATCAGTTCAAGGAAGGTGTCAGAGAATTTACCTGTGATGCAGCTATTTTAGCATCAAGAGTTTAGTGGGGGAGAACCCAGAAATGGACCCAAGGAAAGGAAACACATCAAATGGGGAAATGACAACCTCTTCAACAAAATGTGCCGGCAAAACTGAACTGCTACCTGCAGAAAGCTGAAACGGGATGCACATCTCACTCCATACACAAAAATCAACTCAAGGTGGACCAGTGAACTCGGAATGAAGCCCCAAACCTCATAAGAGACAAACTGGGACCGAGCTCAGAAGACCTACTCTACGGTATAAAGCAACTGCCAAATACAGCCAGAAATGCACAATCTGAAGAGGATAAAATTTATGACATTTAAAGATTAAATCTCTGTGCTCATCAAAAACTTTTTCCAACAGGGTGAAAAGAAAACCTAATGACTAGGAACAAATATTTGGCAATATCATCTTAGACAAGAGTTTCATAATGAAAGTTTACAGGATCTCACAGGGCCTCCAAAACAAAAACACTGATAACCCAATTACAAAATGGGCAAAAGACATGGAAAGACTTTTCACAGAGGAGGACATTCAGATGGCCAACAGACATATGAAGAAATGCAAATCAAAACCACAATGAGATACGATCTTACCCCTGTAGCAGTGGCAAAGTTTAGCAGGGCAGAAAGTAATAAATGCTGGAGAGGATGTGGTGAGATAGGAACTCTTATACACCATTGGCAGGATTGTATAATGGTACAACCACGCTGGAAGGCAGTTTAGCATTTACTCAAAAAGTTGAACACAGAGATTTCATTTGACCCAGCTATTCCACTGCTTGGCATATACTCTGAGAAAATGAGAACTGAGGCACAAATAGAGACTTGTACACCAATGCTCATAGCAGCATTATTCACCATAGCAAGAACATGGAAACAGCCCAAATGCCCAACCACAATAGAATGGATTAAAAAATTATGGTACATTCACACAATGGAATACTATGCAGCAGGCAGGCACAATGATTCTGTAAATTGCTACCTAGCATGGGAGAGACTGGAGAGCATTATGCTGAGTGAACTAACTTAGTCTCATAAAGAAAAATACTGTATGGGACCATTATTGTAGGGGGGGAAGAGGGTATGCTTAAACATAAGGTTGCACACTTTGATTGGTGGAGGGAGGGATTGGTAAAGGAAAGGGGAAAGGTTCGGTGTGAAAAACAATTTAAATGAACTTTGTATGTAAACCAGTATAAAATAAAATTTAAAAAACCGAGTTCAGTGGGAGAGATGATACAAGACTAACATTTCTGAAGAGAAGGGTTACTGTGCCATGGGCTTATTCTTGCTTCTGGGGTATCGGAAACCTCCAGGCAGCACTGGGTAAAGTGAGCAGAGTTCTCGTCTCAAGCGACGGGCAGGAGGCAGGGAGGGGGGAAGGCAGACCCACATGGAAGGAGTGAGTGAGCATGAGTGACTGTGTAAACATGTACTGGAGTCCAGACATGAGTGTGAGGGTGGACGTGAGAGTGAGGACACAAGAGCAAGTCAGTACGTGTGAATGCTTCCCTGTGTGAGCATGGACCAGTATGCTGTGAACAAAAGTGTGAATCAGTGAGTGTGAGAGTGAATGAACACATGAGTATGTGGATGTAGCTGAATGAGTGTGAGAGCATGTTAGTGGGTTTGTAAGTGTGTGAACATGTGTGAGCAGGTGTGAGAGTGTGTGTGCACACGTGCACGCGCGCGCATGGGGCTGGTGCAGGCAGCACGTATGACCCATATGAGCCATCTGACCGCCCTCGCCCAGGAACCCACCCGGCCACTCTCTTCCTTGTGAAATGGGAGACTCCACTGATACTGAGGGTGTTGCCACCCCAACCTTGCAGGACCCAATAAGACCATAATTGGCTCAAAAGGACAAGACACCACCCCCCTTTTTTTAAAGCCTGGAGAGGGCTTCCCTATCACCACGATTAGAAAGAAAATCTAGACCAAACCACAGCTGGAACTCGCAGACAGCCTGGCCCAGAAAGACACTTCACTGGCTGTGACAGTGCCCGGGGCCCTGACGTGAAGCTGGAGACAGGAAGGGGTGGCAGAAAGCCAGCCACAGGGAGCATCCTCCAGTCTACATCTGAGGTGGCAGGAGGGAGCGCCCCCACCAGCCCTGTATGGCCCAAGGCCCTGGAAAGAACCCACAGACAGAGCTGAGAGGCAGGCTGGAGGTGGTGGTGTGGTGGTGGGAGGGAAAGGCCCAACTAAGGAGGGGGACGGTACAGGAAGGAACACGAAGTGTCAGAATTAGAGACGTGCTGATTTCCTTGATAGGTTTACAAGAGGACAGAGTGGCCAAGTGAACCCTGAAAAGCTGGTTTTCAGCTCTGATTTCTGAAAAGGAATTTTATGTGGTTCTCAAGCATGTGAGAAGCTCCCTGCTGAGAGGTCCCCGTAGGCCTCTTGGTGCAAGTGTGGGAGTGGATGCAGCGGCTCCCTAGAAAACCGAGTGGACAGTTGCCTTCAGGAGAAGGAGGTAAGGGGGCACCTTCAGGGAGTGGCATAAAGCGCTCTCACCAAGTGTTTGTCCTCTATAATTGAGATGAGGCTTCCTCAGGCCACCTGAGGCAGACCTCAGAACAAATAACTCTCCATGGAGACCATCTGTGCCCCGCAACATCCAGGTGAGAGAAACCCAGGGTAAAGGTAGGTGCCCAGCAAGGGGGCAGAAGTGAGAGAAAAAGGTGAATGAGGGACGTCTGAACACTCATTCCACAGCCAGCTCACGAGGCCATGAAGAAAATGCTGCCAAGGACAGAAACCTGGCAGTCCCAGCTCTCGACGGAGGAAACGTCCCTTCTCCCCTCCTCACCCATCCCTGGCCTTTCCTCATGGAGAGGTCCAGGCTTCTGGACTGCCCTGCATTTCACTCCCAGCATGGACGGATCATGCACTCGAAGATTCTAGACATTCAGAACCGTCACTCCACTACCCCCTCTCTGTGCTTCATGGGTCTTCAGGGCCCACCTGTCTGCAGGCAGCTGGCCCCTCACCTCACTCTGGGAATAGCATTAGCATTGCTGAAGCACCACTGAGCTAAAAAAGTCCCCACAATGGAGAGAAGGGAAAGGAGTCACCTTACCACAACAGGGGGCACCTCGAGGACCTTGTCTACGTTCTTCAGCGACAGGGGAACATACCAGAGGGTGGCCTTGTTGGTCAATTTTTTGGTACCTTAAGAGAAGAAATGCACATGAGAGAAGAACAGGGTGGAGTGGGGTAGCCACCCAGCACCACCCTTTCCAGCAGTTAAAATACCACTGCATTTCCACCGCCTCCCTGCCCTCCAGCCCCCAGGGAGGTGCACTGTGGAAGAGACTCTAAGGTCCACAGTTAAGGCCCTAAGAAGACTCTATGTGGCCTGGACCCGCCCCCGTGGGAGCCTCCCACCCACATTTGGGGGCCTGAGTCCAGCAGCCCATGGCAAGATGGTTTTCCTTCTGGAACCAAATGGAAAGATTCCAGACCCTATGGTTCCAGCAGGGGTGGTCTGAGCTTGTCAGCTTTCTAACGTGGAACATCTGCACCTGTGTGCAGCGCCCCAGGCAGCCTGGTGTTTGTTTATCATATATTACACAGGCAGGGAGTCCGGGAGGTATAGTCTATAGGGAGCTGCCCTGCTAACCCCTCTGCTGGTATGAATCCACAAGTGACTCTGCTGGAGAAACAAGGGCAGTCTCCTCCCCTGAGATTTACAGCCTCCTGAAAACTCACTGAAAGGTCAGCTAATGAGTAAGTGGGCGGGTGAGTACAAGGGTTGGGATGAGAAAGCGAGCGGGTGAGAACACTGGTCGGGAGTAAGGGGAGGGATCAGTGCAGTGAGCTGCCTCTACACTGCTCAGCACTGAAGGCACATGGTCATGAATGAGCCAACAGGATTACCCTGCATCATGGCTTTCCCACTGCTGGCCCCTCAGCTCCGACCCTACATTCCATCCTGAGTCAGAAGGAGGTGCCGCCATGTCCTTAACACAGTCCAGCATGGAGCCTGAATTCACTCGGGTGAAGCAGCTTCCCTGGGACTGCCTGAAGGAACCCATGGCCACTGTCATCCTGTTCTCGCCCATATGTGGTCACACAGTTCTACGTCTCATGTGGTATACGAGGGATGTTGTTACTGTGAAGTGCTGTCACGGTGGCCCTGGCTCATAGCGACGCAATGTACAAGGGGTCGGGACCATGGTCAATCCTGTACTGTCTTCAGTCTCTGCTGTCATCAAGGCCCCTGTTGCAGTCTCTGTCATTCCATCTCTCAGAAGGTTTGCCCTCTACCAAGCAGCCTGTCTTTCTCAAGGGGATGACCCCACCTGATAACATGCCCCACATATGTGAGATGAAGTCTCCGCATCCTACTTGAGGTAGAGGATCTTCTGAAGGAAGACCAGCTGCCATTATGCCAACCTCAACTCAAGGCAGCCAGAGGAGAACTGTGTTCCGCAAAATTTTCAGGGGCTGATTTTTCAAAAGTGGATAGCCAGGTCTTTCTCCTAAGGTACCTCTGGGTGGACTGGACCTCCACCTTTGTTAGCAGCGGAGTGTATTAACCATTTGCATCCCCCATGGACTCCCTGAGAGGAGGAGGACTTGGCTGTGTACTCTCCTCCAGACCCTGTGAGGAGATGCCCATACAGAGGCACCCCCTAGATTGTGGGAGGACCATCCTCGCTGTGCAAAAAGCCAAGAAGACATGCAGGCTGGAGCCACTACCTCACCGGCTTAGTCTCCGCATTCATGCACAGCTGTTGTTTCATTCCAAATGCAGAACACTCAGACAGGAAAGGTTCTGATACAACTGCTCACCCACTTAAAATCACGGAGAGGAACCCCTTCCACACAGAAGAGCCCAGAAGGACCTCCCTCTCAAAGACCTCTGTGTCTCTGCTCCCCACCCACAGATACAGACTGGCTGCGGGGTCCAGGTCATCAAAGGCCTGTCTTGCCACCTGGGGAACTTCCTCAACCCCCTCTCCTTCAATGTGGGAGGTGGCACCTGAGATACATGATTTGCTGCCAGTGCATTTAGAGTGCCAATCCAGGAGCTTCCAGGTGCCAAGAGATGAACTATGGGCTGCTGGTTCCCCACTAGACTTACAGATAAAGAATCTTCCTTGAGACACAGGCACCACGGTAAAGCTGCCAGAGAGGAGAGGTGTACCTGGGCTAAGAATCCCACTCATGGATTTATAAGGCAGGAGCTCAAAGCCCAGAGAGGCCAATGGGTCAGCAGAAGGTCACACAGCAACTCAGTGGCATCTATAATACCGATCATTCTAAGTGTTAGGTAAGTATTTGCAAGGGTGTCTTTTAGAAAGAGCTCCTTTCATGTGGAAGATCCCATTGTGGGGGAGAGTGGGGTAGGCAGACTGCTGAGGATAGCAGGGAAGGATACAGAAAGAGAGTCGTCTCAGAGTCCTGAGGTGCTGATGTCCAGGTCTCCCTCTGACCTGCCTCTCAAGATGAACTCGGGCCTTTGGTGCCAGCTTCCTACTAAACACTGCCCCAGGCACCATGTCAATCCCCAGAGGGTCAATTAAGCAGCGGCCGCCAGGACAAGGAAGCTCATGGGGGCGGCTGCTGGGTTCCCCCCCTCCTGCTCTGCACACCCGGCCACCGTTCCAGCTGGACACGGCTGCGCTGTCAGGCCAACGGGCTCCCTGCGCTTTGGATTGACAGGCAAATAATACAGGAAATATTTTCACTGCACTTTGACTGCGAATGGAACTGACAAGCTGCTTTTGGGAATAAAGATTTCCTGTTTGCCTCAGCCAGAACCAGCCTGACAAGCTGGTTCCCATGGAAACCTGGAGTGGCCCTCTTCTAGATCTAAATGAACAACGCGGAGCAAATGAGGCAAAACATGCTAATTGTACTTTCTCAATCATTTAATAAAGCCATCAAAAGACAACTGCAGCTTTAGAAACATCTATTTTAAAATCTTAAAAGCTACCAGCTATTTTCTGGAGCGATTCGCAGCAATCACGTCCTAGTTAGCTTAATATTTTGACAGTTGCTGGAGATGAATGAGCCGTCGCAGAGGCAAAGGTTTGTGGGGTGTCTGCCTGAGCAAGCACTTGTTCACTCACTGGACCTCCTTGTGATGGGCAACATGGCCCAAACTGAAGGACAGTCACAAAACTGGGGATCCCTACCCTCTCAAGGAAGAAAAATATCCACAGGCATCACAAGGGCAGCTTGGTGATTCAGTCATGTCTAGACTAATGACCCTGGTTGTACAGCCAGGCCACCTAGACCCTCAGTCTCCTTATCTCTCAGCACCTACTCATCCATTTGGCCAGTATTTATGAGGAGTCGGGCATCATGTTGAGGGTACCACAGCTTCTGTGTTTGTTGGGTTCACGTTCTAGTGAGAGGAAAACAGAAAGACCGAGAGACACATGGTTAAAATAATAAAGAGACTTGCACAATCTGAAACACAGAGAGATGGCAGAGATAAAGAGAGGGACAGAAGTACAGACACCAAGAGGAGAGAAGAGAAACAAATAAGGGCGAGGAAATACAGAGATGAGAGGGGTGAGCATGGAGTGGGGCCAGCACTGTGGGTTCCTGGAGGTGCTCTCCCTGTCAGAGGGCTTAGACTCTGCCCTCTAGTGAAGGAACAAGGCGAGGGCTTTAGAGGAGGAGTGCTCGGGGAGGCGGAGACGAGTCTTCACCCATGGGGCACAGGAACCTCTCGCCACTCGCCAATTCCAAGAGCTTCCTGGCTGCCTGTGTGCATCTCATCCCCCAAACGTGAGCGAGCTTTTGAAAATATGAGTCAGACCATGCTGTTCTTTTAGTTGGAATTCTGATGGCTTTCCATGTCAGCGTGGAAACCCAGGTTTTCCCGGGGCCTTTCATTTACTCACTCGTTCATTCAAGCATTCCCTCTTCAGTTACTGACGATTCCTTGCCTATTCTGCATCAACGGAAGATGCTCAAGAGGGAAGAAATGAGCCTCATCATCACGATGTAGAGAGGCTTTCTCCACCACAGATAACTGGCACACTGGACCAGATGGTTCTTTGCTGCCGGGCCATCCTGGGCTTTGTAAGACAAGAAGTAGCATCCTTACCCACTAGCCACCGGATGCTAGTATCATCCCTTCAGCTGCACTGCAGGAATGGGACACAAACTGCCAGCTCAGCTTCAGAAACCGTTGCTAAGATACAAACAACAGACATGGGAGCGGGGGACAACACTGAAGGGACTGAGATGGTTTCCTGAAGGAGGGGGCACAGAGATGAAACTTTGATCCTAGGCTGGAGATGGTCAAAGGTCCTGCTTCAGGTGGGCTACACACCTGGCGATGCCAGAGCCCCACCTCACGGTGGAGCAAGTGAGGCAAAACGAGCCTTGAGCTTCCAGTCGGCAGCGGCCAGAAGTGGATGACAGTGTGTGGGAAGGCGTGTCCTGGGTCTCCTTCCGCCCCACACCTTCTGTTTCTTCTCTCCCAAAGTTAGCCGCTCAGAGAGGTCCAGACAGAGACAGCTGCCCCTCTTTCCCTGGAGAAGCAGGCACCTCCAGACTCGCCCTCCATCCAGCCGTCTGCTGTGACTCCCCAGTCTCCGCTCTTCCTCCCACTTTCTTGGTGCCTGATGGAGACACAGTGTCCTCAGTGCACCCCTCCAGCCAGGACAGAAGTGTCCCATCATCCTCTTTCTATCCCCCTGCCACCTCTTGCGTCCTTTTTGTCCAGTAGCTTTCCTCTGAGGCTGCATCTCCTGCAATGCTAGAAAGGCGCTTTGGTGACAAGGACTGTCTATGCTGAAGGAGTGGTCCTCCTAGCACAGCTTCTACAGATGAGCTATCAACGGGCAGGAGAGGAAACTGGAAGACACTCTGTAAGGTTGGGGCGTAGGCTCACCCCCAGCTCTGCCAACCCAACGGCTGGGGCAAATAGGGTCTGGAGAGCAGATAGGGACTGGACCCATTCCCGCATGGAGCCTAATCCTGGCTCAGTCATAGTCCTCAGTATAGAACAGAGTGTGTGGGCACCCTTCTCTGTCATAGTCTGAGACAGGACCCTGGCCTCTGGAAGCGGGCACTGAGAGGTCCCAATGGGTGGAGATAAGCACAATGCGCCTGCCCCTTGCACCTAGGCCTTGTGAGGTGAACAGTCCTGTAGTGTCACTGACCCATTCTACTGATGCCTGCAGGGTGGTTCAGTGGAGACAATGCCCCAGTCCAGCCTATAGGAAAACAGCTGTCCACCCCTACAGAGCGCGTACAGCACAGGGCAGGGCAGACATCCAGCAAGAGGGGTCAAGCCAGGAAGAGGGGGACACGAGTCAGGTAGCACCTTCACTTGCATCCAGGCTACAGGATGGCCGGGGATCCGGGCAGCAGGAGTCTGCAGGAAGCCCAGGACAAAGGAAGAGGCTGCCTCCCTCATTACAAGCGCAGTTATAAAAAGAAGCGTGTGCGGGTGCGTGTTAGCACCAGCGCCACCACACTCGCCTGCGGAGCCAAGTGGGAAGATGAAAAGGGGTTTCCATGGTTACCATGGCCAGGAAGAGAGAATATTCAGATCAGACCAGAGTCAAAGGTTTGTCAGTGAACTTCCATCTAAGCTTGGGTTCTAAGGTTCAGGGGAGCAGAGAGGGCCCACAACAGACCCTTTGGTGAATCCTTCATGGTACCAAGGCCCTCACCAGGCACAGAAAGGGCCATCACAGCAGGGGCGGGTGAATAAAGGAACAGGCCCCACCCCTGCCTAGGACCAAAAGGGCCGCTGAGCAGAGGACATTGAGCCAGGCCACACGATAGGGCTGGAATCCACCTCCGGACACAATAATTAAACCCAGTGCAGGGGAGTTGAGACTCTGGAGGACAGAGAGCTGCCTGTTGGGGTTTCCAAGGCTGTAAATCTTTATGGAAGAAGACTGTCATTTTTCTCCTGTGAGGTGGCTGGTGGAGTAAAGCAGCCAATATTTTAGGTTAGCAGCCCAATGTTTAATCCACTGCACCACTAGGGCCCCTTTGGGCAGAGAATGTACCCAGGAAGTGTTAACTGCTACTAATGCATTCATTATCCCTGTTGCTGTCTGTCACTGCCATTCCCAGCCAAGTTCTCTGGGTGCCATGTATCCAGAAGTTACCTGTGAGGATGTTTTCAGACATCACGTTGACCTGGACTTCCACAGAGTGCTTGGAGGTATAGGTAATCTCAGCGCTGACATGGGCCACCTCACCAATGCACATGGGTGACAGGAAGTCGGTGCGCTCAACGCGGGCCAGAGCAGCCACACAGCGCTCCTGTGGACACCAAAGATGGAAAGGTCACACCAAGCCAAGCTAGCCCCGACCAGTTCACCCCTGCCCAATTGTACAAAGTCTCATTCATCCAGTCCAGTTCAGCCCAAGCCAACTAAGTACAGTTCACCCCACACCAGCCCAGCTCATCCCCAGTCAACCCAACTCAACCCAGTCCAGTACAACTCAGACCAGCTTAATCTAACACAGATAGATAAAAGTTGGTAGATATAAACTGCCTTTATTTCCAAGGTAAAAAATAATGCAATTCACTCATGATAGATACATTTAGGAAACTGAACTCTTTGAGGGACTTCACTTATCATACATTTAAAAGGAGTCCTGTCATCATGATTGAGCACTTAGCTTCTAACTGAAAGCTCAGGGGTTCAAACCTATCCACAGGAGAAAAGACCCTGGAATCTGCAGTCATAAAGACTATGGCCCAGGAAACCCTCCAGGCCACTTCTCCTCTGTCACATGGGGTCACTATGACCTGACATAGAATCCATAGCACCCAAAAACAACATACATTTAAGCACAAAACCCAAAGGGAGCACATGAAATCAATTGGCAATGATTATCCAGCATTAGGGATGATTTTTAAAAATTTCCTGTATCTAATTTTTCTCCAACAAATGTGTATTACTTGCATAACAAAAAGTAAAAACCAAAATCATACTCATTATAGAAAATCTTGGATAAGTAAAGAGAAGAGAAAAGAGAAAGTCACTCCCCTGATCCAAAGATAACCACTGTGGCTATTTTGGGAGATTTCTTTCTAGGCTTTTCCCCTAAGAATAGAGTTGTGTTGGTTCACTGGTTTGTATGCCTGGCTCCTTGTTCCACAGCTTGAGTCTCATATAGTTGTGCAAAAACCTAAATATATTCTTTCATATTCTGCTCTCTCCCCTCATCGTGGAGAAAAAAAGAGCTCATCTGTGTTTAAACACATTCCTGGCAGTCACTCTTCTTTCTCTTTACATTTAATTTGTGTAGTTTATCCTTCAAACAGGTGAACTAGTCTCATGATTCAAAATTCAAAAAAGAATAAAGATTATAAGGGCCCATATCTGCCCCTCATCCCTGTCCCAGGCCACACAGAAGCTCCCTGGGGAACCAATATTACCTGTTCCGTGTGAAAAATTGGACAGAATTTCTCTGCCCATCAACCAAGTGAATTCTTCTGGGGCTTTCCACATAACAGATACTACACAGGTCGCTACACCCCTCTCTTTTTTCTCTCTTAGTGATATCTTCTGAAGATATATATTTTTTTAACTACTATATGTAGGTGTTTTGAGACCTTTCACTTTAATAATATGTTTACTGTGGTAAAAAAATAAAGCTAATAAAACACTGGCTAATTCAACAATTCTTACATGTAGAATTCAGTAACTGCATGAAGTTGGACTAGACGAAGACATCAACATCAATGTCAGAGGAAGACTCATCAACACCTTGTAAAATGCAGACAAAACAGCCCTGCTTACTTGAAAGCAAAGAAGACTTGAAGCACTTACTGATGAAGATCACCCAACCACTACTGCCTTCGGTATGTGCCTCCCCGCAACAAAAAATCCTCACAACTGGTCCAGTAAGTAATATTACAACAAATGGAGAAAAGATTAACATTGCCAAGGATTTTACCTGGAACTACAACCAATGCCATGGTAGCAGTGGTTAAAAAAAAAAAATCAAAGTACATATTGCATTGGGTGTAAGTCCAACAAGAAACATCCTGACAACCAGCACGGGGTCAAGAGAGCAGCATCTGAAGAATACTGACTACAATGACCTGCCTGAAGGGCCAGTGTAACTGCCTTAGAAGAAGCCCAGCCAAAAGCTCCTTAGGAGTAAGGACAGCAAGATTTATCTCATGGAGTCTGGTCATGTTAGCAGGAGAGATCAATGAATTCCTGGAGAAGGATATGATGCTTGGTAGAGCATCAGTGAAAAAGGAGGAGAATCTTCAGGTGAACTGACACTGGATGCAGGACTGAACTGCAGGAGTAACTGCGGGGATGGTGCAGGTCAGGGTGTGTTTTATTCTGCTGTGTGTGAGGTTCCTATGAGTCAAAATTTGACGGCATCTAAGAACAGTAACAATCTGGTGACATCAGTTACATTCAATATGCTGTACCACCAACATCATTATCTTTTTCCAAATGACTCTACTACCATTAACAGAAACTCAGTGCCCCTTATGAAAAGATTCTCCTTCTCTATACCTCTGGTTGTTGTTGTTATGTGCTGTCAAGTCATCTGTGACTCATGGTGACCCTATGTACATTAGCTCTGAACCCTGCCCTAACCAGAGCCAATCTCATCATCTCTGAGAGGCCTAATCCCATTTCTCCAGTCACTGAGTCCATCTATCTCATCCTGGGTCTTACTCTCCTGCACTGTTCCCCTCCATCCTTCCAACCATGATGTCCTTCTCCAAGGACAGGCCCCTCCTGGCCACAGGCCCAGAGTATGTGAGACAGAGTTTAAAAATTCTTGCCTTCAGGGAGCAGCCTGATTTTACCCTCTTTAGGACAGACCTGTTTGTTTTCCTAGCAGTCCACGGTATGTTCAATACTCCTCTTCCCCAGCACCACAACTCAAAGGCATCAATCTTTCTTTTATCACGCATAGTTATTGTCTAGCTCTCGGATGCATAGTAAGTAAATGCAAAGATCATGGCCTAGATTAGGAGCACCTTAGTCTCCAGACTGACATCATTGCTCTTTAGTACTCTGGAGAGGTCCCTGACAGCAGACTTTCCCAATGCAATTCGTCTTTAGATTTCCTGACTGCTGGTGCCAAGAGTGTTGGTTGTGGACCCAAGCAAGCTAATAATCTCAATCTCTTCTCCATCTATTATGGTGCTGCCAATTGCCCAGTGGTGAGAATCTTTTTCTTGATGTTGAGCTTCAATCCATATAGAAGACTACAGTCCTTGACCTTCTGCAGCAAACACCTCATGTCCTCCTCAGTTTCAACAAGCAAGGTTGTGTAATCTACATAATACAGTTTGTTGATGAGTCTTCCTCCAATCCTGATGCCACATTCCTCTTCATAAAGTCCAGCCTCCTGAATGATCTGTTCTGCATAAAGGTTGAAAAGGTTTGGAGATGCGCAACAATGAATGAATGGAAATCTAAGTTCTCTATAAACTTTCATTAAATCTAAAAAAAAAAAGAGAGAGAGAGAAAGAAAAGAAAAAGTATGGAGATAGAATGCATCCCTGATGCAACAGCTTTCCTGATCCTGAATCATGCAGTGTTGGCTTCTTTACATTGGCTGAATGGCAAGGCGTTATACTGTCAATCTGAAGACATGTGGTTCAAATCCACAAGCTGCTCCACAGGAGAAAGACAAGCAATCTCCTTCCATGCAATTTAAAGAAAACCTCAGAAAACCTGCTGGAAGGTCAACTATGAGACGGTTCCAACTAAACTGTACATAACAATGTTTCATACAAGTAGGGTCATAGAGTATTTGTTCTTCTGTGAGGGACTTATTTCACTCAGTATAATCTTTGCCAAGGTTCCTTTAATACCATAGCATATTTCAGGGTTTCAATCGTCTTTATGACTGTCAACACTTTTGGCACCAGAAGTCAAGAAATCAAAAGAAACATTGCAATGGGAAAGTCTGCTATCAGGGACCTTTTCAAAGTACTGAAGAGCAAAGATGTCTGTTTAAAGAGTAAGGCGTGCCCAATAAAGGCAATGGTTTTTTTCAAATTACTTGCTATGCATCTGATTTAAGGGGAGGTTCTCTTGGGAGGTGTGGCTTAAAGAACTTTTTATTTCACAAGAGATAAAAGGAGAGGGTGGAGAACAAAAAAGGAGGGACCTTGCCACCAAGAAAGAAGAGCTAGGAGCTGAGGGACTCTGTACTGAGGATCTCCTAAACTCAGAGGAAGACTGACACCAAGTTTTCTGACTCCACAGCAAAAACCTACAACAAACAACAGCTACGCATCTTCGAGCTGGACAACGAATAAGGCTGAATCGATACCTTTGAGTTATAGTGTTGGAAAAGAGTACTGAATATCTCATGAACTGCAAAAAGAGCAAACAGATATTGTCTTAGAGAAAATACAGCCAGAGTGCTCCGTGGAGGCAAGGAGGGTAAAGCTTCATATCACACACTTTGAGCGTGTTGTTAGGAGGCTCTATTCCTCGGAAAGAGACATCATGCTTGGCAACGTAGAAGGTAAGAGAAAGAGAGAAAGATCCTCAACAAGATGGACTGACATGGTGACTGCTGCAACGGGCTCATGTTGATGAGATGACGAGGATGGCACAGGACAGGCCAGGGTTCAGATCTGTTGTTCACAGGGTCACTATGAGTCTTATGAGACTTGATGGTGCATAACAATAACAAATATTCCATCACATGGATAGACTACATTCTGTTGACCCATTCATATGTTAACGCATATTTAGTTTCCATATAATGTAAGGAGCCCTAGTAGCATAATAGTTAAGTGCATGGCTAGTAACTGAAAGGTCAGCATTGGTTTACTCTCCAGTTGTTTCAAGAGACAAAATACCTAGTGAGCTGCTCCATGGACACTGCAGTCCAGAAAGTCCTGTGAAATTGTTCTACTCTCTTCTAGAGCTGCTATGAGACTCAATTAACTTGACAGCACACTGTATTTTTGGTGACATTTTCTATCCCCCAGTCCCCATGGTATACCACTGGAAAAACATTTTTAATAGTTACATGTTGTTGTTGTTAAATGCCGTTGAGTCGTAGGCTACTCATAGCGACCCTATGAACGAAAGTCCTCGACAGTTGCGTGACTTTCATCCTTTCTCCACGTTTGTAGGGTTTCCCCGAGGCAAGCTATTTATGGAAGTGGATGTAATTTGGGTCAACCCCAAATATGTTTCATATAAACATTTTTAATGAATTGAATTAGACCCCAACCCCATTATGTGTCAGTTTGGGTTGAGTGATGCTGGTTCTCTGTGATTTGGCAGTTATGTAATGATGTAATCACC